GGCCACAGCCCCAGAAACACAAGGACTTAATGCAGAACCCAGCAGCTTGGAGCAGAAAAGTGAACGGACTATGCGTGAATCCAGGCCATCATGTCTGTCCGGAGGGGAAAGGGTGTTGCCCCATTCGCCCTCTCTTCTCTGGAAAGAAGGATGGCGGCCGCATGGGAGCCTTGTGAACAGCAGGTATGAGCCGGAGGTGTGGGGGTGACTAAAACCTCATGGGAAGGGGGGCGTTCCGGTCCGTCCTTCATGCCCTACCGAGGTCACCAGTTGCCCCCCACGAGCGACTCTCCGGCACGGCCACGACTCCAGAGCACAGAAACCAATTTCATACCTATCTGACTTTCAGTAGAAATACTTCCAGGGTCAATAAGTAAAATAGCAGAAATCCAAAACCAACATTTAATTCTTGAACCCAGCTGTAGAAAGCAAATCACTTCACAATGCTTTTTCAACATGTCTGATCTGGGGGGGGGGGGGGTAAACTCTAAATAATAGTGGTGAATCTTTTATTGAAACAGTGAATCTAATCAAAGCAGATAGAGTGTTAACTAGAATTCATCTGCCCCACAGGGACTGGGAGGGGTGGGGGTGGGGTTTTATTGGGGTTCTTCATGGTAAAAAATAAGTATTGGTAAAGGGAAATGTGTTTGATATTTGCATGACTGAGACCTAAACCTGAAAGCTTTGTAACCTTTCCCACAGTGATTCAATAAATAAATAAATAAATAAATAAAAAAGAAAGAAACTGGTTAAAGAATCTACACAATGGAATACTATGCAGCTATTAGAAAAGTAAAGTAAAGTAAAGTAAAGGTCCTCCCGTTGATCATCGATTTGCTCGAGGGGGCCCAGTAACGTCTCCATTGGAGACTTTGTTGTTACTGTGTCTGGCATATCGAATACTCTCGGTAGCTTGCCGGGCTCTCCGAGAGGGGCGGAGGAATCGAACTCGGGTCGGCCATGTTGGCTGCATGCAAGGCAGACGCCCTACCCGCTGTGCTATCGCTCCAGCCCATGAAGTCATAAAATTTGCATATAAGTGGATCAACATGGAAAGTATCATGTTAAGTGAAATGAGTCAGAAAGAGAGGGATACACATAGAAATATTGCACTCATTTGCAGAATATGGAGTAACAGAATGGGAGACTAATACCCAAGAATAGTAGAGATGAGAACCAGGAGCATTGCTCCACAGCTTGGAAGCCGGCCTCAGATGCTGGGGGAAAAGGCAGCTCAGATAGAGAAGAGACCACCAAGTAGAGTTCTTGGAGAGCCCACTCAGGATGGGAGAGGCATGCTGAAAGTAGACTAAAGACCAAACATGAAGGCCACTCAATACTTCTATTGCAAACAACAACACCCAAAAGAAGAGAGAGAGAGAGAGAGAGAGAGAGAGAGAGAGAGGGAGAGAGAGAGGGAATGCCCTGCCACAGAGGCGGGGTTGGGTGGGGGAGATGGGGTGGGGGTTGGGAGGGATACTGGGATCAATGGGCACTGGTGGAGGGATGAGTACTTGATCATTGTATGACTCAAATGTAAGCATGAAAGTTTATAAGTCTGTGAGTGTACCTTACAGTGATTCAATAAAAAAGGTAAAATTATTAAAAAAAAAAAAACTTCCTTAGAGAGCAGAATAGATAGAAACAATTCTGATTAGTGCCACACTGTGGTTTCAAGAGATTTCTCTGACTTCAACTCTCATTTTTGGAAACCTCAAAGTCACCTTCCAAATAAACTCAGCCTAGTCATGGAATTTTGAAATACATATAACCAAATTGCCCATGTCTTACCAACTGACAGCCCCTTCTTCAAACATCAAATTGTCCCCCGTGGTACCTGAATGATTTCAGTACGTGAGAATGATTTCAACCAGACCAAAAGAACCTTCCAGCTGATTGATTAAAACCAAATCAGGTACTTGTTATTTTAAGTACTAAGTGTAAATTGTTCTATTAATCCACAATAGATAAGTGATTTTAAAAAAACTTCAGGGGAAAAAAATAGACTTGAGGTTGGAGAAATAGCTCAAAGTGCTGACTGCATATTTCCCGTGCAGGTGATTTTGGCTCCATTTCTCGTCAGTTTGTGGAGCAACCCCAAGCTCTGAATCAATAGCCATGAGCACCGTGTCATACGAGCCCAAAGCAATAAAAAAAAATCCAGATTAAAGTATCATGTTAGGCAAAATGAGGCAGAAAGAGCGGAATAGACACAGAAAGATTGCATTCATCTGGGGAACATAAAGCAACAAAACGGGAGACCAACACCCAGGAATGGCTGAGATTAGTACCAGGAATTTTGCTCCATGACTTGAAGGCCAGCCACATGTGCTAGGTGAAAAGGAAGCTCAGATAGAAAAGAGAGCACCAAATAAAGGGTGTTGGGAGGATCCTCCCAGGGTGGGAGAAGCATGCTGAAAGTAGTCTATAGACCAAACGTGATTGCCACTCAATGCCTCTCTTGCAAAACACAGTACCCAAAAGAAGAGAGAGAGAACAAGGGGGAATGCCCTGCCACAGAGGCAGGGTGGGACAAGGGGGATGGGGGTGGGAGGGATGCTGGGACCCGTGGTGGTGGAGGATGGGCACTGGTGGAGGGATGGGTACTTGATCATTGTATAACTGAAACCCAAGCACAAAAATGTATAAGTCTATAACTGTACCTCATGGTGTTTCACTAATAAAAATAATAATAATAATAAAGAGCAAAAAAATCCAGATTATTAGTATTATACACATCACTCTTCATGCTCTGAGGACCGTTTATTTCTTGCATTTACAACTTTATTTCTCACAGTTCACTTAACATTGCATGTTCCAGTTATTTATAATTATGTTGCCCAGATTTTCCTATGCTCTCTTACCTCTCTGTTATTTTTACTACACATGGCTCTAGTGAAACCCTTCCTTCAGGAAACCTTTGTGTCTTCTCTGTTTCTCAACCACACACTTATATAGTATTGAAACCATTGGTTGACTCCACAATTTTCTACTATTCTCTGAACTTCTCTGAATTGTGGGAAAATTTCCTTGTTGCTCATTTTACACTATCCTAGTGCTGAAAAAAAAAAAAGTAGGGCAGTGATCATTGCAAATTGATTGATCAAATTAATGAATGAAATATACGTCCAAATATGTACAGGTTTTTACTGTCACTGTCACTGTCCTCCCGTTGTTCATCGATTTGCTCGAGCGGGCCCAGTAACGTCTCCATCATGAGACCTGTTGTTACTGTGTTTGGCATATCGAATACGTCATGGGTCTTTTAAAAATCTTATAAATTCTTAGAGCCAGAGAGTTAGAAGAATAGCTAAACGGTCCCTTAAATCCCACCACAAGTGATCCGTGAGCACAGAGTGAGGAGCAAGCCCTAAACACTTCTGGGAATAGCCCCAAATTTAAAACAAAAAGGGGGGTACACATGTTACAGATACCAAAATATGGATATCTACCTCTTTGCAACTGACATTTATAACATCTATGTAGGACAGGGCAGAAAGAAATAAGGTAAAAATTCAATAGGAAACTCTTCCTGAAATAGTTTTTCCCATTTCCTTTTCTGTTTGGTCCTCCCAAACTAGGTGCCTGCACTTACAAAGGCCTGAACAACACTATTAAGGAATAGACACTTGTCCTCATTCACCCAACAATCTAATGTAGACAATGATAACCTCTAGGTTTCACTTTACAACGCAAACATGAGCGTATACATATAGTCTTTACTTTTTCAAGTGAGTTGGTTTCATTATTTCATGGAAGAGTAAGGTAAAAGGTAAGGTAAAGGCCCTCCCGTTGTTCATCGATTTTCTCAAGCGGGCCCAGTAACGTCTCCATTGGAGACTTTGTTGTTACTGTGTCTGGCATATCGAATACATCACGGGGAGCTTGCCAGGCTCTGCCGTGCGGGCGAGATACTCTCGGTAGCTTGCCGGGCATGGAAGAGTAACTAAACTCAAATAAAGCTCCAAGCTTCCAGTGGATGCCGATTGGTTATGTTTAGTCTAAAGAAGACTTCAGCTTGCTGGTTAAATCCATTATTAAAATGCCAGTGACAAAACCTCATGGGAAGGGGGGCGTTTCGGCCCGTCCTTCACGCCCTACCGAGGTCACCAGTTGTCCCCCACGAGCGGCTCTTCAGCGCGGCCATGGCCCCAGAAGCACAAGGACTTAATGCAGAACCCAGCAGCTTGGAGCAGAAAAGTGAACAGACTATGGGTTAATCCATGCCATCATGCCTGCCCAGAGGGGAAAGGGTGTTGCTCCCCTCCTCCTTCCCCCCTCTGGAAAGAAAGATGGTGGCCACATGGGAGCCTTGTGGAGAGCAGGTATGAGCCAGGGGTGTGGGGACGACTAAAACCTCATGGGAAGCGGGGGCGTTCCGGCCGTCCTTCACACCCTACCGAGGTCACCAGTTGCCCCCCACGAGCGGCTCTCCGGCACGGCCACGACTCCAGAGCACAGAAACCAATCTCTTAATTATCTGACTTTCAGTAGAAATACTTCCAGGGTTAATAAGTAAAACAGCAGAAATCAAAAACCGTGTGGCCGCTATTGCAGTCACATGACAACATTTAATTCTTGAAACCAGCTGTAGAAAGCAAATCATTTCACAACGCTTTTTCAGCATGTCTGATTGGGGGGGGGGGGGGGGCGGGTAAGCTCTAAATAATAATGGTGCATCTTTTATCGAAACAATGAATCTAGTCAAAGTAGATAGAGTGTTAACTAGAATTCATCTGCCTCACAGGCACTGGGAGGGGTGGGGGGTGTTTATTGGGGTTCTTCATGGTGAAAAATAAGTATTGGTAAAGGGAAATGTGTTTGATATTTGCATGACCGAGACCTAAACCTGAAAGCTTTGTAACTTTTCCCACAGTGATTCAATAAATAAATAAATTATTTAAAAAATAAATAAAATAAATAAAATGCCAGTGACAAAAAGATGCTATCTCTTTAGGTAAGGGAGATATTCCATCTAGGTTCAATTAGCTACTTACTGATAGTGACAATTACAAATGAGATTTTCAGCAGCAGAAGAATCAGCAAAGAGACAAGAAGTAGCTTGAGGCAACCAGTGTTACTTTTGGGAGGTGAAGTCCTATCTTTGGGAGCTGCAAGAGAAATCAAATTAGGTTCATCAGTAATACAGTCAGGCCAGTTCTTCCTCTTCTCCCTTTTTTGTAATTAATACAAACGATATGACACTTAAAAGAAAGGGAAATAATAGTATTCATTGTAGAAACTTAGGAAAACACATAAGAGCATAAGTACCCACCATTAAGGATTCCTACTTTTATACTTTTATCTTAAAGCATTTTAATATTAAATATTCATGTGCTACTTAATTGTAATGTGTTTAACTATGATGATATAAATATATAATTAAATATTATTTAACCATTTCTTATTAAAATATCTAATGTTTTTTTCCAGGAACATTTTCCAAAATGACTGAATCACCATATATTATTTGATAATCTACTTTTTAACACATGGTAGGTATTATTTTAATTTTTCATATTTAAAATATTATGGAATTTCTGGAGGTTATCTTCACATTTGCATATGTATATATGTCTGATCATACCTACCACCAGAGTTCTCTTGTCATTCCACTGCCAGAAAGATCCTTCTACCCGCAGTTTTTCTTCAATATTCTTTTTGTATTTGCATAGTACTTCAGTTTACAGGCTACTAATTATCTAGATTTTTTTTTAATTTTTATTAGTGAGACACCATGAGGTACAGTTGTAGACTTACAAATTTTTGTGCTTGGGTTTCAATTATACAATGATCAAATACCCATCCCTCCACCAGTGCCCATTTCCCACCACCATGGATTCCAGTATCCCTCCCACCCCCCATTTCCCCATCCCACCCTGCCTCTGTGGCAGGACATTCCCTTTTGTTCTCTCTCTTCTTTTGGGTGCTGTGGTTTGCAAAAGAGGCATTGAGTGGCAATCATGTTTGGTCTATAGTCTACTTTCAGCATGCTTCTTCCCAGGATCCTCCCAACACCCTTTATTTGGTGCTCCCTATCTATCTAGATTATTTTTTCCTCAAAATTTTGTCCATCCTTGAGAGAGAACAGAGGGGAATGCCCTGCCACAGAGACAGGGTGGTATGGGGGGGATGTGGGGGTGGGAGGGATATTGGGATCCGTGGTGGTGGGAAGTGGGCACTGGTGGAGGGATGGTATTTGATCATTGTATAATTGAAACCCAAGCACAAAAATGTGTAAGTCTGCAACTGTACCTCATGATGTCTCACTATTAAAAAAAAATTTTAATAAAAAAAAAATTTTGTCCATGCTTATATAATGCCATAGCAGCTAAGTCATTAGAAACAACCCTTATTTCAACATTAAGATATGGCTAGGTCTGCTTGGTTAATATTTTATGGTAAGAATTATTCTTTTCTTGGGACAAGAAATAAAACACAAAGGCATGTGCTAGACCCCATGTGAGTATCTAAGCATGAGAATCCGACACACAGGGCCCAGCAACATGATGGTCTCAGGACCCAGCACTGGACTGTATGAACACTTGACAAAGAATCACTAGAAATACTTCTCAGGGTCCCTGCGCATTGCTAGGGAGACCCCAAAATAAAAGAATCATGTTCTTTTAGACTGAAGGAGTGAAATGGTGGTGACAGAGGACAGCAGGAAAAAGTGAGAGTGAATCAAGTACAAAATGTCAATTATATGGTGGAGGAAGGAAACTAGACTTCTGGCAGCGATTCTAACAGATGCTGAGTTGTAATGCTATAGACTCGGAGCCTACATAGAATGTCACAAACCCTAACTTCTTAAACTGTATGTTGCAATCCGTATGAGGTCACATAACCAATATGTGAGCATCATGGAAAAAATTGGCAAAAGTAAGATGCTTTTGAAAGTGTGATGACCCAAAATTAATTCAAAAGCAATCATATCATGAAATTGAGGTCTTCCTGGCAGCTCACACCCACATTGCATTCTCCAGGAGAAGAGTTATCAAATGGATAAGTTTAAAAAGCCCTGTTATAAATAGGAGATTAATACCCAAGAATAGCTGAGATCAGTACCAGGAGGATTACTCCATGGCTTAGAGTCCAGCCGGGCATTCTAGGGGAAAGGGCAGCTCAGATAGAGAAGGGAGCACCAAATAAAGGGTGTTTGGAGGATCCTCCCAGGATGGGAGATGCATGTTGAAAGTAGACTATGGACCGAACATGATTGCCACTCAATGCCTCTTTTGCAGACCACAACACCTAAAAGGAGAGAGAGAACAAAAGGGAATACCCTGCCACAGAGGCAGGGTGGGATGGGGGGGATGGGGCGTGAGAGGGATACTGGGATCCGTGGTGGTGGGAAATGGGCACTGGTGGAGGGATGGGCATTTGATCATTGTATAATCGAAACCCAAGCACAAAAATTTGTACGTCTACAACTGTACCTCATGGTGTTTCACTAATAAAAATTAATTTTAAAAAACCCTATTATAAACCAGTATTACTTCGATTAAAGAAACAATTTCCCTGGAGAAATAACTCAAAGGGCTGAGCCTATGCCTTGCATGCTGGAGACTCATGTTACCTCCCTGACAACACATGATCCCATGATCCCCTAAACATCATGGGGAGGGACTCCCTTCACAAACACAGGAGGAGCCCCTGAGTAGCTGGGGTGTGGACCCCAAGCGAAAAATAAATTAATTTTCCCAATGTTATGATATGTTCCCAAGTAAGGAGGAACCCCCTCAGATATGATTACATTGTCCTCTGGTTGTTCATTGATTTTGCTCCAGCGGGCCCAGTAAAGTCTCTATTTTGAGACTTGTTGTTACTGTGCTTGGCATATTGAATATGTCATGGGAAGCTTGCCAGGCTTTGCCTAGATACTTTGTGAGGGCTAGATGATACTCTCAGTAGCTTGCCGAGCTCTCCGAGAGGGGCAGAGGAATCGAACCCGGCTCAGCCGGGCTGGCTGCACACAATACAAATGCCCTACCGCTGTGCTATCGCTCCAGCCCAATATGATTACAATGTCACAAAAGAAATGCTTACATTCACTTAAATCTGGAGAAAATCTAAATTACTAGTATCTCTAGATGATAATAATTAATATAATTCAAATTCTTGTGTGCCTTATTTTTCTATAATGAGTACTTCAATGCATACTAATATTTTATATGCAGTTTATGTTAGAGGAAGAAAAAATTTTCCTGAGAATTCTTCATATTTCCACATGTTTTTGGAAAAGTGAGCAATCATGATCACACACACACATATACTATTTCTTACCTTCTCCTACTCTATATGCTTTTTTCTTTCTGTTTTTCTCTAAGATATGTTACATGCTACTCAAATACCTTGCTCTACTCCCCAAAACTGTGTTTAATCCATCTTGGAAATTAGTATTAAACAAATGTTTCAGATTAGGCCAGAAAAATTGTACAGGAGGTAAGCCCCACCAGGAGCAGTTCCCTAATACAGAGACAGGAGTAACTCCTAAGCATTGTCAGGTGTGGCCCCCTGAACAACCCCCCCTCCGCCAAAAAAACGATTTTATGATGGTAGAGATATTTCCCTTGAAATGTAATGAACTGTTTTTCTAAGACTTTCCTGCCTTTAACCTGCTGTGGCCTTTTGTTATCCCTGAGTTCACAAATATAAATAAATACACACAGTCCTGCAAAACCCTAACTAATCAAAGAATGGAGCCCATCCATTCATTCATCAACTGTCCTGCACTGGGCCAATGGTTACAAAAGCAGAACCCCGATCTCTTGACTGCAGACTCACTCAACCCCACAAGGCAGAACAACGCTCAACCTAACAACACTCCCCTTATCATGACTGTGGTGGGGGTGAGGGTTAGTTCTCACAACTCACTTTTGGGGTAGTCACACCTCTTCCTGCTTCATGTTAGACAACTCCAGCTACGAACAACCTGCATTTCCCAACTGCATCCAATAGAAAAAATGAGCAACTCCTGTCACCTATGCTTTGCTGACACGCTTCCTTCTTCATCTCATTACAGACTTGCAGAAAACGTTTCTTACCTGCAGGAGCCTGTGATGGGGTGGCCGAGGACTGGGGTTCATTTTTGAATCTCATTTCACTGCACTTGCTCTCTGTCAGCATAATGACAAGAAACACTCTGCTCTCTTCACGCCAGCCTTCCCATCACTCTGAGAACAACTTGGAGAAGCTCTGCAGGAGCACCAAGTTCCCCTATTCACACTGGCTTAGAGGAATCGCTTGAGAACTAAAACCCTCAGCCAGAGGTTTGAACCCCAAGACCAAAGCAGCATAAATCAGAGCCCTTTAATTCAGAAGGGGGAAAAAATGCAGTAAAAATAGGAACTTGGAAACTAAATAGAAAATATGGAAGGGAAAAGAGGAACTTTTTTTGAGTCACACATTTATTTTCTATAGTTGTACAGGCGTGTCTCAGGCATTGGTGGAGATGGGGTGCTGTGGTCGGTGGGGTGTCCCCCACTTCCCTGACCAAGCTCGGGGACCCACAGGCCTGTCCTCGATGGGACCCTCCGCTTGCCCTCCCAGAGGTGTTGAGTGGCATCAGATCCCTCTGTGTGGCTCCCTCAGGCCACAGTCAAATGTCTGGGCTGACGCAAGAGGACACAGGAAGTGGACACCTACATGTCCCTCCAGAAGCCTTGTGCCAGGGCTGCTGCGAGGTCCCTGCAGAGGGGCAGGGCTTGGGGGGCGTGGGGAGACACCTGCTTGGTTAGGGGCGGGGTGGAGCACTGGTGTCTCTCTCTTCTCTCTTTCCACTCACTCACACTCTCTCTCCTTTTTTTGTTTGTTTGTTTTTTGTTGTTTTGTTGTTTATTTTTTTTTCTTTTTGAGTCGCACCCAGAGATGCTCAGGGGTTACTCCTGGCTAATGCACTCAGGAATTACTCCTGGTGGTGTGGGAGACCATATGGGATGCAGGGAATCAAACCTGGGTCGGCCGCGTGCAAGGCAAATGCCCTATCCACTGTACTATCGCTCTGACCCCTCTCTCTCTCCTTTTGGGCAGTGTGGTTTGCAATACAGATACTGAAAGATTAACTCATATATCCCTTTACTTACTTTGAACCCTCAGTTCTTGTCCAGCTATTATTGTCACCCTGGTCGCTTCTCTATCTTAACTTACCCTCCATCATAGTTGAGTTTTAGACATACATTGTTCCAGCACCAATCCCAGAACAGTCTCAACTTCCCTCCACCGCTGTCCCCATGCTCCCTCCCTCCCCCCACCCTGCCTCCTTGGCAGGCACACTTAGGTTTGGCTGTGGGAGTTAGGATCTCATGTGCCCCATGTTGTTGGTTTCGTGCTTCGTATCTGTATCACTCCTCTACATGACTGTTGGCCCAACAACAACAGACCAACTTTCATCGTAGGGGACTTGAGCAACAGTACAGCAGGTTGGGGACTGACCTTCCATGAGGCCAAGCTGGGTATGATCTCCTGAGACCCAACAGGAGGAGCACAGAGACAAAAGAAAGCACTGAGTTCATCTGGATATAACATAAAGGAACAGAATAGGAGACTAAACCCAAGAGTGGCCGAGATTAGTACCAGGAGTTTTGCTCCATGGCTTGGAGGCCAGCCACACATTCTAGGGGGAAAAGGCAGCTCGGGTAGAGAAGGGAGCACCAAATAAAGGGTGTTGGGAGGATCCTCCCAGGATGGGAGAAGCATGATGAAAGTAGACTATAGACCAAACATGATTGCCACTTAATGCCTCTTTTGCAAACCACAACACCCAAAAGGAGAGAGAGAACAAAAGGGAATGGCCTGCCACAGAGGCAGGGTGGGATGGGGGATGGGGGGTGGGAGGGATACTGGGACCCGTGGTGGTGGAAAATGGGCACTGGTGGAGGGATGGGTATTTGATCATTGTACAATTGAAACCCAAGCACAAAAATTTGTAAATCCTCAACTGTACCTCATGGTGTTTCACTAACAAAATTTTTTTAAAAAACGTAAATGATGGAGAATGAGCACTGGTGGAGGGATGGGTACTGGGTCATTGTATAACTGAAACCCAAGCACAAAAATTTGTAAGTCTACAACTGTAGATCATGGTGTTTCACTAATAAAAAAATTTTTAAAAAAGAAAATGATATGACCCAATGCCAGGAAAGGGAGGACTGGTCAGTGGTTTGGGGGATGGAGTTAATGTAGAGGAGGATGGGTTGGAGAGCGATAGCACAGTGGGTAGGGCATTAGCCTTGCACACAGTCGACCATGGCTTGATCCCCGGCATCCCATATGGTCCCCCAAACACTGCCAGGAGTAATTTTTGAGTCACACCCAGCGATGCTCAGGGGTCACTCTCCTGAGTGCAGAGCCAGGAGTAACCTCTGAAAATTGCTGGGTGTGATTCCCCCAAAAAAAAGCAAACAAACAAGATAAAGGAGGATCCACAATGACAATACTAGTTGGCAATGATCACTCTAGACAAGAACTAAGCAGGTAAAAGGATATACATGATAACCTTTCAGCATCTGTATCATAAACCATAATACCTAAAATGAGAGCAAGAAAGAGAAAAAGAGTGAGAGAAGAGAGGAGGGCTTGAAGGGGTGGGAGGGAAATTAGGGACACTGGTGCTGGGAGAACATTATATGACCGAAATGCAATCATGAACAATTTTATAATACTCTATCTCATGGTGATTTAATAAAAAAAATAATAAATAAATATTTTAAAATCACAGTCACAGTCCTCCCGTTGTTCATCGATTTGCTCGAGTGGGCCCAGTAATGTCTCCATTGGAGACTTTGTTGTTACTGTGTCTGGCATATCGAATACGTCACGGGGAGCTTGCCAGGCTCTGCCGTGCGGGCAAGATACTCTCGGTAGCTTGCCAGGCTCTCCGAGAGGGGCGGAGGAAATTTTAAAATATATAAAATAAAAAAATAAATTTAAAAAAAAACTTGTTTTATCATCCGAGTGTGTGCAAACCAGCTACTGAAGGAAAGAAAACTATTAATTCTGATATCTAAATACTGGAAAGTGGGGTATCAAAAAAAAAAGAATATTCCTACAAGACTGGAAGGAAAAAACATTCTTTCATTTGTATTTGTTTGTTTGAGGTTTGAGGTCATACTCAGCAATACCATGGGGTAATTCTGGTCTCTGTCCTCAGGAATCACTCTCGGCAGTATTCAAGGGGCCATTTGGGATAGCTGTGATCATAGAACACTGGCCTAACACATACACGGCAAGAGTCCTACCTGCTGTACTATCTCTCTGGCCCCAAGAAAAGGGTGTTTGTTTCTTTATCCCCTGTGCAGAGAGACGACAGTACAGCAGGAAAGCGCCTTGCATGTGGCTAATCTGAGATCAGTCCCTGGCACCGTCTATGAGCCCCTGAGCACTTCCAGGAGTCACACCTGAGCACAGAGGCAGGAACAGCAGGAGCAAACCCTGAACACTGCCAGATAATGAGCAAAAAAAAACTAAATAAAGATTGTTTCTCATATTCTTTCATGTCTTGTTTCCATGCCCGCTGTCTTATGCTTCTGCACAAGAGTTCCTCAGGTCTCTCACAGTTTCATGCTACCTGCTCTTTTACAACACGAGTTTTCCCTTCATCAACTCCCACGTCCTCTTTGACCGCAAATGCTGACTTCTGCTTCCACCATCCTACCACTTCAACACTCATCGGCCTCCAGTTCCTGGGGTTGTGTGCAGGTTCTTCCTCTTTGATCTCCGGTAGCCCTTGACCTTAGTTCTCTTCACTTCATAATGGGGACACCACAGATTCCTGACTTTGTCTCGCCTTCTGGCTGATACTTCTTCAATGTCTTCTTTATTTTTTTTTAAGCCTTTTGGATTACCCCCTGCAATGTGCAGGGGTTAGTCCTGACTCTGCACTCAGGAATTACTCCTGGTGGTGCTGAGGGGACCATATGAGATGCTGGGAATTGAACCCGGGTCGGCCACGTGCAAAGCCCTACCCACTGTGCTATCACTCCAGCCCCCACTCTTCAATGTCTTTAGAAGCTCCTCTTTTTCCATCCATCTCTTAAAAAAAGGTAACAGTTCATACCTTTCTTTTTCAGTGAAAATCCTCTCCCCCCGTGATGCTACTATGTATTCGCCTGGTTTTATCTGATACCTATAATGAATACTAACAGAGATCAGAGCTCTGCCCTAAAATCTGGACTATATCTTTCCCACTGGATATATCCATTGGAGGTTCCAGAGTCATTCAACAATCAATATTCCCCCACAATGACCATATTGTCTCTCACACCTGCTACTCAAACTCTCTAGACACCTGAGGTCTAAACCAGTATCTTAGTATCTGAGAGTGCATGAGTTTCTAAATAGCTTTATTGAGTTACCAAGTGAGAGTTCTAGAGCCACTCTTGAGTTATTTGGCCCCGTATGCCTCATATTTGAGTATTTACCAACACCAGACTAACCAAAGTCACCATCAGCTCATGTCCTTCTAGCTGATATCTTCTGAGTTGTCTGCAACTGGTTCCTAATTCATCTGTAAGAATGATGTCATCCCAGGGCTGGAGTGATAGCACAGCAGGTAGGGCATTTGCCTTGCACACAGCCGACCCAGGTTCTATTCCCAGCATCCCATATGGCCCCCCAAGCACCACTAGAAGTAATTCCTGAGTGCATGAACCAGGAGTAACCCCTGAGCATCACTAGGTGTGACCCAAAAAGCAAAATAAAAAAAGGATGATGTCATTCCTTCCCGCCCCAAGAGACCCAACTCCAGCAGCTGAAAACTTCCAGAACTCAACCATCTCCATGCTCATGGCCACTGTACACATGCTCATTCTGAACCTTACCCACGAGTGAATCTGCAGAGAACCCAGGTATGCAGGGCTTGTGACTAAAAACTCCAGGTTCAGCAGAACGGGAATGGGTGACCTCTCCCCCCATCTCCCCCTGTTTCAGGCAACTTGGCAGTCACACCCACAAGCCACATCTGGCTGGCGCCAGATAACCTCCTCAATGGCCATGCTCCAGAGGTTCATTATAAATCTCTCGGAAGAGAGCATAACTGACTCGCCATAGCCATGCTGCCAGATCCGCGCCAGGCTGTTTCATTCAGAGAACCCTGGAGGGGGGGCAGATGATGCCCCACCCCACCCCAA